TATATATATATATATATATATATATATATTGATTTTTATTTGTTTTATATATTCAAAAATATTTGTTTTCTGAATTGTTTTAATACTAAATTCTTATCTGTTTCCTTTCAGATACAATGTGTGCATATTTGCATATGGGCAGACTGGATCGGGCAAGTCCTACACTATGATGGGCAAACAGGAGCCAACACAAGAGGGCGTAATCCCAATGGTCAGTATGACAATAGATAAATGAAAAATATTACTAAGAAAATGATGTAATATAAGTGTTGGCATTTAGCGCTTTATGCCAAATAACTTTATTACTAGAGACAGTAACAGTCATTGAAGGTGTGCAACCTTCTATGTGACCCCCCTCCCACAGTTAGTGTTTCTGGTTATGCATAAATACAATTTGGATTCTGCTTAACTTTACATACATATTTCACGGAGCAAACCTCAGGCCCTGGGGGCAGCACATAATAACCTTGGTGTAGCAGAACCATTGGGAATAGCATCAATGTCTCATGATAATTAACGTGTTTGCAAATACAAGAATCAAAATATTAATGTTAGTTCCAAGTATAAGCCAATATGATCCTGAACATATTACATTAAAGAAGGTGCTACTGTACTCATTTCATTTGTATGTTACATTGTGACAGCTGTGAAATTATTACCCTTAGGGGACTTGGGGACAAACATACTAGCTAACGCAGCTAATTTATATAGTAATTTTTCTAGGAAAATTTATTAGTAATAATGTCTCTTTGTATACTTTCATTAAGATCAACTTGATAGATTCTGCAGAATTATGCAGCAGTATAATTACTTTTTCAATATTTTTTTTTTCCTGCCAGTTATGTGAAGACTTATTCAACCGAATAGGCGACAACACAAATATCAACTCAAATACGACCTATTCTGTGGAGGTCAGTTACATGGAGATCTACTGCGAACGTGTGCGTGATCTCTTGAACCCTAAGAATAATAAGAACTTGCGTGTACGCGAGCATCCCCTACTCGGGCCTTATGTGGAAGATTTGTCAAAACTGGCCGTCATGTCGTATCACGATATATCAGATCTAATCAACGAAGGAAACAAAGCAAGGTAACTGGAACCTGTCGGTTCTTAAGCCGGACACTCAATGCATCGTACGATGGTCGTACTACGAATCCAAATCCGCTCCCTCTGAGCGATAGAAAGCGCAACGCCGTCTGCTGATTGTCGGTAGCAGTCTGAACGGATCGTCATTAAAAGCGATCCGCTGCACACGCGTCATTGCATTGCATTCTTTATAGAATCACGTCGGCCAATGACCATCGTGCCCAGTGAGTGCCTGACTTTACACTTAGTTGTTATTGTCAAAAAGATAGTAGCCACTTCAAACCTACAGAAACCTACCTATTAAGCAGTTAAAATGTTTTTTTTTTGTTTTTTTTTTTATTTCCTTCACATCCAACAGCAAGTACACTTGCCACTTACAGGATGGAATGATGCTTTATAAACTAAGTCTCTTTATGAGGCTTAGGGAGTGGAGTTGTTTTGGTCGTGAGAAAAAGTCCTGCTGTGACAGGAATTGAACCCAGGACCCTGATCAGAAGTCAAGCATCTTAACCACTGAGCTATTCAACTCCACTCCACTCCAACTCTAAGTTATGAACTTATGTTATGATACTGCAAAATGTAGTGTCTGCTCAAACTACCTGGACACATATTATGGCTGCTTAATCCCTCCTCCCTTCAAATATAAAAATTTAAGTAACCCTTTTAGGATGTTTTAATCCTGTAATGTGGGAGCGTTAGATATTATCAATCCCATCTGTCTTGTTTATAGAACTGTTGCTTCAACGAACATGAATGAGACAAGTAGTCGTTCCCACGCAGTATTCACAATCATATTTACGCAAAAAAGGCATGACAGACAAACGGACCTCACCACAGAAAAAGTCAGCAAGATCAGTCTTGTAGACCTGGCGGGAAGTGAACGGGCAGATGCAACAGGAGCAAAGGGCACGAGGTTGAAGGTCAGTAGAGTTAAACTTAGTAATAACTTTTAATTCAACATTTTCAAATATACAATTTTCTGTGCCAAATGTGTGATAATATGGAGCAATTATAGATTACCTTATACTGCAGTTCCAATGCTGCGTTTTACATCACACTCGAGAATACATACTAAGCTCTCTGGAAGTATTACACCTGTCAACTGTCACGCATAATGCGCGAGTCTCACGCATGAGCATCCACTTTTTACATCTCATGCCTACATTTTATTATCTCGCGCATCATAAAAATTTTATAAAAAAATGTTTAGGCTGATATACCCTAAAATTTATAAAAATAAAGTAAATTCGTCATTAAAATGGGAATATAGGCCATATAAATTTCTTTCAACAAAGCTATACCAACTGATGACTGTAATCGGAAGCAGTTCCACCACTACAATTTTAAAAAAAACCATAGAGGGCACTCTATTTCATGATTTTTACATACTGTAGCTATATATATATATATATATGTATATAAATATAAATAGACCAATCATTTTACAGTTTTATAAGTATTTCTCATTTGCTCTCTGTCACCTTTATTCTTTTTTGATAAGACAGCCTATATTATATTGATTCATGAGGTTTTCCTTATTCTCGCTGATGAAGGCCACAGGAGTGGCGGAAATATCCGAGTTTATAATAAATCAGTGTTCTTAAAGTCTACTACTGAAGTTGTTTCATTATTTTCTATATATATATATATATATATATACACATATTATATATATATCTATATACAGTATGTATATATATATATAGGCACTTTATACAAATTAATTTTTTTTGTCATCAGACAGCATCAAAGTTAGCAGGTATAGAGTATATGTACCAAAATTTAGCAGCTCATGAAACATTTTGGAGGCTTCAGTTTGGCTCTTATTCAAACAACATTTCCTAGTATAAAAAGGTATTTATTGTAATATTTATTCCATTCATTTTTTTGTAGGAAGGGGCTAATATAAACAAGTCGCTTACTACGCTTGGAAAAGTTATATCAGCATTGGCAGATGTGGTGAGTTTGAAATAGATTATAAATATCTTAACAGACATTTTTTAATATTCATCTTTCATTTTTTATTTTCTTACTCTAAGGCGAGTATTTTTTTATATCTTTGTTCAGCGAAACCGCCGACCGCCAATAATTGATTTTGAAAAAAAATAAAATTTTATTGTTGGCCAATTAGTGCACCCTCTGCTACCAAAAAATGGAAATTTCATAAAAAATAAAATTTTATATTTATTATTATTATTGTTAGCTATTCTTTGTAAGAATATTCGGCTACCAGTTTGGTATTTAGGGCTTCAGGTCACATATAACTAAACCTAGTCTAACCAGGATACCAAAACCAATAAAAAATTAAGATATATATATATTTCTTCCTGAAATAAATTTAAAGCATTCATCAATTTCATTACTACACTATTTAATTCATTAATAAAATTTTATTTTTATTTTCTCATTTACCTAGGTGGTTTTGGCAAAATCATTTTGCTAAAATGAGAAAACCAAATTTTATTTTTATTTTTTTTCTGCCCTCTTCTGACAACCTTTAAAAAAATTAGTTCGCAAAAGAAGATATAAAAAAGTCTCTCCTAATGTTAAAACATTGCCAAGACTTTTTTCAGTAGATTTTGTTTATACATTTATTATTCTTTACTAGTGCTACTAAATAATTATATGATATTGATTTTCATACTTTAATTTTATATAATGAAAATGCTATTGATGCTGTTACTAGATTGTTTCCAACAAATTTTTAGTGGTAGTATAATTTTGATATTAGATACTAATTTTAATAATTCAAATGAAAAAATTGAGAAAATGTTTCAAAACTACAGTAAGTAATATTAGGAAGCATTAAAGTGATTACCACCTATAAATAAAATCAGCTAAGGAGGAAGAATTATGCTCAGTTTTTTTACATCCTTTGAGTTTTAATTATACTGAATACTGAAATAATTTATTGTCCAACATAAAAGAAGGAAATGCAATCAAAAACTGGCAAACATATAAAATCACAAAACACAGTACCGAAAACGAAAATCTATAATTATTATAAGCAAACAAAAATTATTTATATGTACAAGAGAAATCAAATTTTTATACAAAATACATAAAAAACGTTACATTAAGATGAAATACAGCAGCAGTAAACGTGGAGAATTTACTACTGAGCTCCTTTTTATTTCTGCCTTTTCTACGCATTGTTTCATTTGTAAAATTAAATTCCTTCACTCAGCTAAAGTGAAGAAGCTACAGAGTTTTACTTTCAATTGATTTATTTAGCTACTAATGCATATCATAAGAATTTATTCTGCCAAGAGAAAAAATATTAAAAATTGCTGATATTTATAAGAGGTAAAATCTTCCCATCGTGCACGTAATTAGCATAAAAAGCTAGCAAACATTCGATCATGGCCAAGGTCTTTGTTCAGCCTTTTACTTGTGCATTCAGAATGATACAGTAAGTTCAATAACTATAATAAATTATAGCAATTTTTCTGGGTGATAGATGATACTAGAAAATGTTGAAAGGATTGTTGGTGATTGTATTTTGCATGAAAGGAGTCATTATGATCTCCTTGGAGGGAAATGCAAATCGTTCAGGTGAAGGGGATTGTGTTCAGGATGAGTATGTATGAACCTGAAGATTACTTGTCATAGACATATAGCTGGGTGAAGGCTTTGCAGTACAGTATTAAAAACTTTACAGCTATGGGAAGCATGTTACGTCCTTCACAGAAGGTTCAGAGGTCAACATAACCATTAATGTCAACACTTAAGCTTCCATGTAACTCACATTCATATAAACATCTTCGGTTAGAAATAAGTTATGAAATTCTGTAAAATAAATACAATCAGTTTCGAATCTAAAGAAAGCAAATAAGCATTTCCTTATTGTTATACATTAAAGATAGTCATGGCATGTATTGAAGGCATTTACAATCAGATTAATTATTACTTTTAAAAAAAATGTAAAACAGAAAATAATATAGTAAACATTTGGACATGTATCACAATACATCTTTTGTTCAGTGTTATTTTTTACAGTACAATTATTGGAATGTAGGACAAAAACCACCACAGGCAGTAGAGTACCACAGTCGTGTCGTCACAATGCCACGTGGCGCTCTCTGTTGTCAACAGACGTAGGTTACCGTTCATTATGCATGAATAGCTGCATAAGCTTTGTGGAATAGGCATTTTAAAATCTAATATTTTACTATCAAAATGTACTAAAAACACAAAAGCTTGCATTATATTAGTTATTGAATACACATTTAATCATCAATTAAAATTTACAAAGAAAAAGTAAGATACAACATCTTAATAATTATGTTAGATATTGGGATCAATGGTTTGTTAGTGGCGAAAATGGCGTCTGGTTGAGCGCAGGCGAGTCGAGTGGCTGAGCGGTGAGGCAGGGGCGCCGCTAGCTACAGCCTTAACATCGGCGCTGGTTCCAGTCGCTCCTTGCCCATGGTTCGGTTGGTAGAACCTTCTCGGATAAGGACTTAAAATGGAGGTCCACTGTATACATCTGGCTCATGTGCACTTTAAAGAACCCATTGCATCTTTCGGAAGAGTAGGGGGTTACCCCGATGTTATGGTTCATTTCAGCCCCTGTTGTTGTGGAATGATGTGAACATGTATCTACCAAGAAGCGCCTCTTTACGGCTGCTAGGTAGTCACTTAACACGCCCACGCACAATGACGCTGCAAGTTATAGTTTATTCTTGTAACTTTACCTTTACCTCTTTTGCTACGGTAACAACGGCGTAGTATCACGTGGTATCGTTACGTAACACTAATACTCTATAACCATCCACATTACATATTTAAATTTACTTTAATTTTCATTATAAAAAATTTGTTAATTGAACGTTAATATTACCCCACTGCCTACCCCACTTAAACAATGGTATAGTCCATTGTGGGTGGTTTTTGTCTGTGTGCTAATTGCCCAGAATGGTTTTTATCCGATTTTTTATTATTGATACAGTAATCACTACATAGTTTAATTTAATTTAATAATAGTAGTTTATAATGCTTTAATCCCTTATTATTTATTCGCAGATTCATAGGAATCATGAATGTTTATTAGAAATAAATGATTTAATAAAGTTTCTAAGAATTAAAGACATGTGCACAAAAGAATATTTAAAATATGTATACTCAATCCTGTACTTGTTATTTGTAATTAACTCCTTGGAACCTGACTAACTCCCCCTGGAATTAATTAATTTTAATTAAAAGCAACATTGACTGCATCTTAAGTCACGAACATTGATTGCAGTTTCTCCAAATTGGTTTTTGTAGAAAAGAGATAATAATTTGATCTTGTTACCATAATGAATGATGACATCACACGGCGACAGCTAAGTTGTTTGTATCTGGGCTGATTGGTTCATTGTAAACAATGATTAGCACTATAATCTAATCATTAACACTGCCGGTGCGTACCGCATCATTTTGCGTCTATCTAATCTAATTTTATACAGATAAGTAATAGGTAATTGATACAGAATTATAATGTGTTTTTATGTTAAGAACGAACTGTGTTACTGTAAGATCTGTGAAGTCATTATCATAATTTTTCTGTAAAATATATTTTCCATCTAAAAATTAGTATATTTATTATTGTTTAATAAGACATTCCAACAATTTATTTCCTCTATTTTTTTAAACGTATCTAGTCCCAAAGTGAATGGAAAAATATAGTAAGTTAAAGAGGTTATATATTTTCTATTTAAAATAGTATATTTAATATTGTTTAATAAGATATTCCAACAATTTATTTCCTCTATTTTTCAACGTATCTAGTCCCAAAGTGAATGGAAAAATATAGTAAGTTAAAAAGGTTATTTATTTCCTACGTCATGTTCCCATACACGACTAGTTCCTAGAAAAGTTATTGCACCTGTTTTTATAACCTGACAACTTTTTTTGCTGTGTTTATGTAAGTCTATATCTATTATATATCTTAGTTTGAGTTTGTTTCCTCTTGTTGTTTTTCCTCTGTCTTCTGTATTTATATCATGTGGATGTTAAGATGTGGTGTAAACAAATATTATTTATACTGTATAGTTGTGTTGGTGTATTTACCTATATGATTGTCTGTATCATAACCATTATTGTTGTTGTCTTCATCTTCCTTTTTAATAATCATCACATCAATAGTTTCACCATCATCATCATCATCATCATTACCATCTCTTTATGTTGTCATCATGGTCATCATTATCATCATTGTAATTATTATTTTCATCATATAAATAATTAAATTTAATTTAATTTAATTTTCATTGATCTTACATCACCGACTAAATCATTAACAGATTTACCAGCTTCATCATCATTTTCATCATCTACATCATCAACATCATCATCATCATCATCATCATATCATAATATCATGTATTATATTATTATATTATTCTCCTGAAGACAATTGAAGCAAACTCAATCAAAATGTTGAGACATTCTCAACCAACAACAGTTTTTTTCAGAACTGTCTACGTGGTATACTGCAAGCATTAATATATATTACTTGGCCATGCAAGCGTTTAAACAATATTATCATTATCATCATCTTTTTGTTTCTATACTCAACACTGTCTCCATCATCATTACTGTCCTGAATGTTAGTTAGTGGGCACTCAATAGTAAAGTATTAGATACAGTATATTTGATTGTGTAAATTGTAATGTCAGTGATGATATAAAAACCTTCTTGTTCCCTATATATACAGTATGTGTGCATGTTGTTCTCAATGTTGCATATTCATCCCCAATGTTTCTAACGCATGTAAATTCAACCCACTGGAGATTTGATATTTGATCACTAATGCATCTAGTTCTCATATGGACTATACTTGATATTAATGTATGTTAGAAGTTGAAATAGAAAGCCATATTAATAATGTACACAATTATCATATTTGGTTTAGATTACATGATGTTTGGAGTATATAGCTATTATCATTATTTTATTTTTATTATTAGTACCATTATTATTAATACCATTAATATTGTTTTTGACTATGTATGGGTACTGTCCAATGTGTTGAGTTAATGACTGTGCAAAATGAAATGAAATATTTTAATTATTTTTTGTTCATTTTATATTAATACATTTTATGGACAGATATTACAACACAAATTTAAATTACAAATGTAAGCAATACTCCACCTTAGATGGTAAATAGTTTCATCTGGTTTTCAATAGTTTAATAAATAATTTCTTCAATCTCCCATCTTGTCATTTTGACAAATCACAGCATTCTACAATCTGTGTCATTTTGACCTGGATATTTATTCTGTTGATAATTAATTTTGATTTTGTTTGTTAATGGTTGAAAGTCAATAAACCAAATGCAATATTCATACACATTAGCATCAAAATCAGCTGAAGCTCCAAGTTCATACATTTGCAGACAAATCTGATGATACAGCCGTTAATAATGCCTCGTGTATAGCTTAATCAAGGAAGCCAATTAGTTGATTCCCAAGTGCATTCTATGTTAATGAATCTGATTTTAAGAGACTTAGTTCTTGATGTATTTTGCTAATAAGCTCAGTTACACTTCACTGAACTGCAACATGTTGATGTAAACTTCCTTATGTTGATAAAAAAAACATCAAATTATTTAATGCGTGGGAAAATGTTAATTTTTTTTATGTTGAGAAAGTGAAAAAAATGTATTAAGATAAAGAGTATGAATGTTTTCTGACATCTTAGGTATACCTGCTTTTAATTTCACACAAACACACACACACTGTTAGTGGAGAAATTACAAAACAGCACAATGATTACTTCTACATAAATAATACTTTCTCAGAAAGTGAGATGATCAAATGGTAATTGGAAATCAATGAATAAAATTCAGGTAGTCAGGGGATGGTTGAGGTTTGATATAAACATATTACTGTATATAGCCAATGTATAATACATCACATAAAATTTGGAATGGAAATTTAAAGAAAAACTTTTTTTTTCCATATATAAATGGAATGAAATTTATGACCATTGGGGTGAATTAAATTGGATTTGTTTGGATTTATTCAGTGTAATTCAATTCAAGTTTTATTTTAGTAATATAATTAACATATTCATTTTTAATTATATTTGATAATTTCATTAATCTTTCCAGTCGAGTAAAAAGAAAAAGAAGACAGATTTTATACCATACCGTGACTCAGTTCTGACATGGTTATTGAAGGAGAACTTAGGAGGCAATTCCAAAACAGCTATGATAGCAGCTCTGAGCCCAGCTGACATTAATTATGATGAAACACTTAGCACACTCAGGTAGGCCTTTTGAAAAGTAATAAATTAAATTATTAAGATAATGTATCTAGTTATGTATTGCAAAAAAAAAATCTTTTAAAAATATCTGTATGCATTTATCCATGCAGTAGACTTCATCAGGAAACTAGAAATGGGTTAGATTAACATCTAATAGAGATAATGAGGGAGTTAGTAAAAACAAAAGTATTAAAATGTAGTAACTGAAGCAACTAGTCTACATGAATAAACAACCATTAATAAACAATTTTCTAATAAACTAAAGGTCAATGTGAAATAATGTAGGTTGTGGCTGTTTTCTATCCCATTTGTACAGCCTACTTCATGGATGAAAGCCGGAAATCAATGCATGCAATTGATCCCGAGTTCTGTAACCATTTATGTTGCTTTACAGCTGACTAACGTGCACCTTTTGTTCATCTTAATGAAGGTACAAATTGTAAAGTTAAAAAATATAAAACTGGTAAAAATGAGATCATAATTCCACCATATAGGTATGCTGATAGAGCCAAGAGCATTATGTGCAAGGCTGTTATTAATGAGGATCCGAACGCCAAGCTTATACGTGACCTCAAAGATGAGGTCAACCGACTACGAGATCTACTTAGAGCAGAAGGCATTATGATTGACAATCTGAATGTTATGAGTTCAAACCTTGGTGAACGCAAAATGTCAACAGTAATGGAGCAAGAAGCAGTAGAAAGGTTAAAGGTCAGTTAGGGGAAATTTCCAAATCTGATTTTTCCCAAAATGGAAACATGAACAAAATATGTGGGATTCCTATAGTGTTGTATCTGTATATTTTTGACTGTTGAGGTTCATTTGCCAATATTTCATCATCAGCATCATCTTCATTATCATCATCTTCATCATCATCATCATCATCATCATCATCATCGTAACCATCATCACTATCATCATCACAATAACACAACACCACTGTTTTTCAAAATTGCGTGTAATAGAGCTCAGCATGCCACTTACAAGTTCTCCACATAGTTATATCCTACCAAGATCGGTATTTTGTTGGAAAACAAAATACTTTTTTTTTATTGTGTCATTTTGTTTAATTGTATTTTGTTATTATTTCTTTTCTGAATGTTAGGCTAATGAGAAATTGATAGCAGAATTGAATGAGACGTGGGAAGAGAAGTTACGGAAAACAGAAGCTATAAGGCATCAACGGGAAGAGATGCTCGCTGAGATGGGAGTTGCAATCAGAGAAGACGGCAATACTGTGGGAGTTTTCTCACCGAAAAATGTAATTATTTCTTGTCATCAAGTTACATAAATATAATTTTTTTCTCTGCATGTTTAAATTCAACTGTGAACTGTATAATAAACAGATGGTGGTTGTCTCTATATAAATTTGAATATCATGAAATTAATTCAACCAATTCAACTAGAACTTTCAGTAGAAATACCAGCAGTACTGGTACTGGTACAAATAGCCATTTTTTTCAAGACATTTGGCAGTCATTGACTTGACGTTGTCATAAGTGGGATACTGCTTTTAAAACTATGAAATTTGAAGTGAACCAACAGCAACAC